ATAATAAATAAAATTAAAATTGGGGGTAACTAATAAGTAAAAAAAATAGTTTGCCCCGCAGGCGTGGCGGGCGGACCGCCCCGGGGCTAGCGGCCCCCGGCCGCCCCGGACCAGGCGGGACCCCCCGGGCCCCCGGCACTGTGCAGCTCCGGGCAGCGGGCGCGCAGGAAGACCCCCCCCCCTCACCCCCCAGGCCCCATGGTGTAAGTGGGTTGAGGACAACTCAGGGTCCTCCATGTCTAACAGGTATTTAAGACAGGGGGCTGGGCTGGCCCACGGAGCCACAGAGCCAGGCCCCCCGAGCAGTCCCCACTGCCCGAAGAGCCTCACCCCCCGACCCCGCTCAACACACCCAGCCCCCTGGGCCTATGTGTTAGTGTGGATATGGTCAGATGTAATGTCTAAGGTGCCATTAAAACACGAGGTGGGGGTTCCCGCCGGGCGGGGAAAAGAGGACCTCCTAGGAGGCACCCTTAACCCCACCCGGCAGACACCCCCATGGTCCCGAATCCCTATGTGGTGAGTGCGTTCTGTGTGCTGGAGCCTGGGGGGAGAGGGGTAAGGGGGTGTGAACCAGGAGGAACATGGTCCTCCCGGAGAAGGCAGCCGCGCTCGGCTGCATTGGGCGCCCCCGCTCCCGGAGCCCCGCCCCCGTGCGGAGCCCCAAGAGCCCCCCAGGTCCGGGCCTGGCAACCGTATGGGGCCGCCCCCCGACCGGAGGGCACGCCACCGCCACACCCGAAGAGGGAGAGAAAATAATAAATAAATAAGAATTGGGGGGGGGAGAGAGAAAAAAAATAAAAATAAAATAAAATAAAATAAAATAAAATAAAATAAAAAATAAAAATAAAAAAATAAATAAAATGAAAATAAATAAATAAATAAATAAATAAAAATTTAATTAAATTGAATTAAACAAAGATAATAATAATAAAAATAAATAAATAAATAAATAAATAAAAGAAATAATAATGGTAATATTACTAATAATAAAATAGCGTAATAAAATAATAATAGTAATAATAGTAATATATATACATATACATACATACACATACATACACATATACACACACATACATGCATTCACACACATATATATATATATATATATATATATACATACATATACATACATGCACACACATCCACACATATATATACATAAATACATACGTACAATAACGGTAATGTTAGTAATAATAGCAGTAATAGTAGTAATAATAATAATAATAATAATAATAATAATAATAATAATAATAATA